AATCACCCAGCTGTTGTTACAGTCTTTTCTCCATCCAGAGGGACTGAGACTGTCTGGCAGCCCTGTGTGGTGCAGCCCTGCTCCATGCACAGGTCTCAGTCCCAGCAGAGCTTCTGTTCCTGTACTGCCTGCCATGGTATGCCACCCCAAAGCACAGCTTTACATTTGTGTGGCACAAGTGTGTCCTGTTCTCCAGGCCAGCTGTTTACAGAAGGAGGGAATAACCTTGTGATCGAGTTATGGAATCGTCTCAAATTAGGTAAAGAATATTTTCAATTCCATCAAGTAGGACTGGGTTGTGTCTTTAAACATCTGGCTTTAATTTCTTAGCTGCTCAGTACAGATTTTTKTGTTTGCAGTTCACATTTAGTAGTGCTTCTAGTTGTGTAATAGCCAGTCCATTTGGACTCCTCARTTTTGGTCACCTCATCTCTGGTGGCAGTAAATCCTCAGGCTGATTTTGTGTAGTTCTGCAATGATATTTAGAGGATTAGCACATTTCTTAGAACAAACCACAATTACTGGAAGAGACAGGTAGTAATTATGTATCTCAGTACTTCATTACTGGAAGACAGGGAATCAGCATTTTGCTTGCCTTTATTGAATATCTGCATGTTTTTAATAAAGCACTTTTTTTGTCCCTTTAATCCTGGCCTCTTATGTTCTTTCTACTTGAGTTCCTTGGGAACAGTGCACTGGAGAGAGGCCATTGTTCATCACACAGAGCTTATTCTTTGGGGTTTTCCGCTGTGTGTCTGCAGGATGCAAAATTCCTTACCATTCTGTAATCCAAAATCTTGTTGCTGGGGCTTGATAAATCATCTTGACACATAGATGGGCAGCTGAGATGTCATSTCTGAAGTTTGACTGTCTTTTCAAGTGAACCTTTAAATATATCAAAGCCATTCTTCAGTTTTTTAGACCCCCAACTTCACACACTAGTGTATCTTCCATGACAGAAAAGATCAGAATTATTTTCCTAGAATAATTTCTGCTTTCACTTTTCTCTTAGCATTAATAACAATTTCTGCATTTAAAAAATAGAATAGTGACAGGGCAAGTAGCTTGTCAGCCTTGTTCACACCTARTTCTGTCCTCAGAATTTGCCCCAGGTGCATCAATGAATGTCCATGCAGTTATTTTTGTTTCTATATCATTYTTAAGGGAAAAATCTCATCCTAGATCCTTAAGTCAGGCAGAAATCTATTGAAACTTGTGGAAGTTTTGTTTTACCTGGCAAATAAAATTTTTGAGAAGAAACATAATGTTTGTGGATCAGAATGGCTAATTTTGTAGGCTTCAGGCTTGTCAAGCAGGCAGGTAATGTCTGGCAGTTCTTTTCATGCTGGGTGTTGATCTAGGAGCCATTGCAGCTCTTCTGACCTTCAATTTTGTGTTAAAATATGTGTCATTATTCATCCACACTGTCCACAAAAAATAAAATAAAATAAAATAAAATTTACTTTGGACTTTGTAACTCTGGGCCTCAGCGGGAGATTTGTGTGGTAGAGAACTACTGACCTGTGAAAACTACCTGATACCGACTACCATTTTTTAAAGCCCCTAATTCAATTTTAATCTTCTGAGTTGCCAAGCCTCCACATCTGGGGCATCCRTGTGAACACTGGATTCAAGGTGTCTCCAGTCAGACACAGGTTTTTTATGAAGTTTGAGAAAATATTGATCATAAAATGCAAAGAATAAATCATAGTCCATTGGTATTTTTAAGTTCAATTTTTGAGGACCAAAGAATAAGAGACCAAAGAATAAAACTCATGATAYGCTTTCATGTGCAGGCTTGAATTATCTTTGTAAGTAATAGAAATAGCATTACCTCACTGGAGCTGCTTTCAGGTGAGAAATGATAAGTGATGTTATTTTAAAAGAGCACAATGTAGGTTAGTTTTTGAGTGTTATTTATGCAGCTTCTAAAATGGCAGATTTACATTCTGTGACAACTAAAAGGCCACCACAGGACCTCACTGCTGCTCCTTGGTTCAGTCTGACCAGGACCGATTTCAAGACTGGACTTTGCTGCTATAAGGAGGAAGAAAAATTTAAGATAAAATAAGGGAAAGAAATGCTGACTCACTTTTTTCAAAATTAAGACTTCACAAGAAAAGATTATTTTTAGTCTTAGCAAATAACCTGGTATCTGATCTTCTGTGAGTATTTATACTTCTTTCTTTTAATGGAGAATTTATACTTCTTTATTTTAATAACTCCCCTCAAGGCCAATATAAGCTAAGCATGTAAATCCCCAGAGAATTGATGGAAAGGCAGCCCTCATTCACTTAAATGTAAAAATAAACCATTTGGCATGCAGAAAAGGATCTCATAAATTATTATATATTTTCTTTCTCTGTCATCTAGTACTGCCTTGGCCAGATTGAAGGCACACACAGTTTCCTGTTTGCATTTTTTTGCTTTGAAGTGATGGTGAATAGATTCATTAAATTAGAACAAAAGAAAACTGCTAATCTGTTGCTTGTCTTCTATTTCAGTGGATGATCTAAAAGGCTGAAAGTATTTCTGTGTTTGTTGCAGTGCTRTCTGCAGCTGGTTGCAAGGGAAGTAACTTTAATCAGATTTTCAAGATGTGTTTTCCTTCCAGCAAAATCTCCAGGTCACAGCTTTTCCAATTACACAGAGAAGGCAGGAGACAAAGCTAGTCTGGGGAGCTTTCTCTTTCAGCAGCAAAGTTTGCATTTCTTTTAATGTAGTTAAAACGTTTGACAGGAGAGAGTAGGGCGTAGTGATGTGAGGTGATTTCCAAATGAGTGTTAGCTTTTTGGTGACCTACTTTTGACTAGTGGTGTATTCTTGTCCATTACTTTTTGTCATTGAATAATGCTGATATATTAAGCTGTGTACTTCAAGGGCATTGTAAAATTGCATGTAGGGGCAGGACTGAGCTGTGAAAGTGCGAATTACTCTATCAGATCAAACCCAATTAAAAAGTGACAAGCACAGCAGGAGAAATTGAAAGCAAGGTTTATCTTTCATGTAACGTAAGAAGTCACTCTATCAGTTAGAAACAAAGTGAGTGTGAAACAGATTCTCCACCTTTTTTCATCCCTCTCCAAAAATTAATAATATCTGCTGACTTTATTATCCCGAAGAATAAGCGCCTGAGTTGTAACAGCTCACGTTGAAGGACACTGTGACAATGGCAAAAGAAAGGGAAGTACAGCACCCGWACACCTTGAAGCTATTTGCTATCAAAGCTTGCACTGGGCCTCRGGTCAGCACATTTGGGGATTGATGGATTGGGAGTTTAGAAGAAATGGTGGCCATTTATATAAAGCCGTAGTGTGTCATTAAAGGAAGACTTGCCGTCTTTCAGGCTCTCTGCAGTTCCACAGGAAGTGTGGGAATAAAAGCATGGTAAGGGCACTTGTGTGCTTTTGCTGAGCCCTGCAGTTGTTACAGAACTGCTGCAAGCTAGGGGAAGTTATGTAGTCTCCAGTGCCATTGCAGAAATCCTTGTAAACCCTTTTGCATAACGTCCACGAGCGGTCTTCTAATGATTAGTTGGGCCTATGAATGTACTACTGGGGCTGTGGTAGGTTTGGGTTTTTTGGTTTTTTCAGGTTTTTTTTGTTGTCTGTTTGCTGATCCACTAAACTCATAAAATAAGCCAAAAACAACACACAAAAAAAACCCATCAAAAAATGAATCAACTTTGCAAAATGTGTCCTATATTGCTATTGCATTGCAGACAGCTTCAGTGACTGCTGTGTGACCTGGCAAACATCACCCTCTGCAGACAGTCGATGTTACACTGACCCTGATGTTTGCTGCTAATGCTGTTACCTCAGTGAACTCCTGAGTGTGTGTATGAAGAGCTGATTTGGCTAATGCTGAGTTTTCAGGCTAACATCAGCAGTGATGTTCTGCTTTGTGAAGGAAAAATCCCAAAAAACAAAAAAGGGGGGAAATGGGAAACAATGCAAAGCTCTTGATGTGTATAAGCTGTGCTGGGAGGCATCATAGGGTGAGGAAGATGGGGGAGATGGGTGGGTGAAGTCACAGGGTACCTGGTCCACCTAGCAAGTTTTGCTCRTAAAAACAGTGATGCTCTATAGGATGCATCTTAATGTAAAGTATATATCTGTCATAGAACAATTYAATGCTTTAAAGGAGACCAACTGATTCACGGTCCTACTGTACTTGGACTTGGCGAGCAGTTGTTAGGGTGGGGAAAAAAGGTTGTCATAATATGAAAATGGTTATTAAAAGCCTTCCTTTTCCTGARAGARGTTTACCGTCTCCCTGTTGGCGCCKTTGATGGAGTAAAAATGGTCATTCAGAAGAACAGTTTTATTGKTGTGTGTTTTGGTCACTGGGTGAAGGTTTTGTAAGGACCCAGACAATACCTAGGTCTGAAGTTTAAAAACAAACAAACACACAACTATCCCCCCAGGCACCAAACCCCCAAACCCCCAATCTAAATTTCATAGTGATCTTTAGTGGTATTTGTGTTCTATAGTGTTTTGGTTTTGTCAGAAAAAGTTTGATACAAGATTGATAACCACTTAAAGAACTGTTGTGCATGGACTGATTCGTTTGTTAGGCTTGTTTACTTCTAAAGGTAAAGAGGAAGACCTAGCTCTGTGGGTAATGTTCCTATTTTTTGGTGAGGATTTTTTTTTTTGGCTGTTGTTTTTGTCTTTGTTTTTYATTCTGTCGAGAGGAAACTTTGATGAACTCTGCCTTTGCTAGTCTCACCATTTTTCTCATGCAACCAAGAGGTTAATGCATTCATTATGGATCTATTATTACAATATAGATACAATAGACTTTCAAGAAAAAAAAGGGAGAAGACACCCACTCTGCAATTTGAATGTGAAAAAGATTAATGAAATTCTTATTCCTAACTGATATGTGGGTATCTGAACTATAAAATATGTGGGTAAGAGATGATATGGTTTAAAAAAGATAATCCCCAGAGAACTGTATAGTTACGCTGTTACCTAATTTTGACCTTTATTTTTCAGTGGCCAGTGTAAAAGAAAATGCTGAGAAGTACATGGAGATTCTGGAGGATAAACTACATAGGTAAGGATGACATCATGGACATCTTTGAAATCTTAAAAATGCTTGTACATACAGCATTGATATATGTAAAAGTTTTAAGAAACTTGCATTAGAGTAACACCAGAAGTGGTYCAAAGTAGGAAATCCCGTGTGTGTTAAGAGTTCTGTACATGTCTGTGTTCAGCAGCCTGGCAAAGCCGRGTACAAGAAAGAATCACTGTTCTCCAGTGCACAGGACTGCTCTGGAGCAGTGGTGGTCCAGACAGAAATCCTGAAGTATTGGAGATATAACAGCTGGTTGAAAAATCACCCTTCTGCTCCTGTGCAAAACCCAACTCTGAGCAGGGCCAAGGAATCCCTTACCAGAATACTGGACATCTTTAGCAAGTAATGAAAGTATGTATAAGAGTTTTGAAAAAATGCCAGTTTGGGGAATTGTGGACAGCAAATACAAACCAAGACAACAATAGAGATATTTTAAGAACTGAATACTAATGCAGAATTTACAGATTTTTATGCTTTTTTTTTTGGAAACAAATGCTGACATTTATATTTCCTTCTCTTACTGCATGAAGGAGACTCTAGGTGACTCCCTCTGACTTTAGACTTCTCCTTGAAATATGATTAGTAAATATTATAGTGCTATAGTCATGGAATCTTCTGTGTTAGTCAACTTTGCCTTGAACAAGTATATTTGTATTGAAAGAGGCTTTCATGAGTTGTAGTTGGAGTTTGTGTCTTAGTAAAATGCAATCCACTGAATTGGCACCACTTCTGTTTCCATTACTGAGCAAATATAATTAATAAATTGTTGCCCTTGCTAYTTTTCTGTTGTATTGGTAAAGAGAGGGTTCTATATGTTTAGGTTTGCTCGCTCATACTTTTGAATATAGAAATGTTTCACTCAACTCTTAAATTTRAAGATATTCATATCCGAATGAAAAATTATGGAAACAGACCTGAAGATCAAGCTTTGTGTCTGTGTACTGTCTTTTTGAAAACCATACTCTTTATTAAAAAATAAAGTATAATGAATGACATTTTTTGATGCTTCTAGACTGTATGGATTTGGCATATCAGGCTCCCAGAAAGAAGTAAATTTCTCTTTAAGTGTTAAATACTTGGAGAATCTGTATGTTTGTTTCTCCTTCCAGAGGTTTATCAAATAGAATTTGCAGCTCACAGATGGTGAAGATTCAGTCCTGAACTTGTTTTCCAAGATGTGCAAATGGTATTAGTCTAAAAATTAGACTTAATTMCTTAAGTAATTAAGGGCTAAGAATTTGTTTGAGTATTGGTAGAAAGAGAAAAACTTTAATGTTTTTTATCAGAAAGAAGTTTCCAAGATATTATGTCTGGAAAAATATGTTATTGTTATGCTAATAAGGTGGTTATAGAGATTTGGTTTTTAAGGGTTGTTAGGTCTTTAATTAGCTATTTCTGCTTTACAGCTTGAGCAATAAAAAAAAAAAAAGCATGAGCCCAAGAGGCTTCCCTGAACCCTGCCCCTGCCTAGAGCAGTAATCTGAGAGAGTTTCTTTTTTTTTGGTCTTCATATAGATGCTCAGATTACTCATTTATATATATCATAAACAAAAGAAAAAATCTCTAAGGAAAGTTTAAAGAGTAAGTTTCAAGATTACATTTTAGACAGGGGTAGAATTTGCATCTGGCTCAGGGATGTGCCTTTGGGGATGCTCTTGAAACCAAAAGAGGATCAAGTCTGGGTAGCATGAWTTCAAATAAAGCTCTAAAGCTTTTCTCCAGATGAAACATAATTTTGCCCGGTAATGTTTCAAATAGAAACAGCTTAGATTCAAACCCCTTCGATTTAACATATAGCTTCTACAAAGTAAAGCAGAACTCTTAGAAATGTCATGTTTGACTGCTTTGTAACAGAAGGAAGTTAATGAAGAAAACTCATAACAAAACAGCTTTAATGAAGATGCAAGTTTCAAAAATATCAATTTTGTCAGTGAAGTTCACACRCATCCCTGTTCTTTCCTCTTTTGTTTTCTTAAGGAAAGTTTGGGATATATTCCTTTGTCCTTTAATTTTTCTTATTCTTTTTTTGATGGTTGAAGGCGGGGAGGGGAGTTTTTTAAAGAAATGCAATACTTTTGACTGCAGCCTAAAAAATGTCATCAGGTATCTTAATAGAATATGTTTGATTAGGAATACTACTCTTTTGATAGCCTTGCACCTAAGAAAAAAAAGGGAAAATAGGCATTGACAAAAACCCGAAATATGTTCATTATCTGATAGTTTCACCCCAAGGAAGGCAAACCACCCACTAYAAATACAGATTACTAGATTACTTGGGGTTTTTTTTGTATTTAAAATATAGGTTATAATCTGAGAATGGATTGACAGTTTTGAGGACAGTATTCTCTAAGGAAAGAATGAAATGAATAGCCTGTTTAATAATGCTGCTGGCTGTCTCTTTCCCAGTCACCAACATACATCAAGCCATTCCTCAAGTTTATACATCAAATCATTGGGTGCTCTCTTGAGAATGTAAATACCATTGCCATCTCTTCCATGGTAGACCTTGCAAATTGCTTACCTTCTGTTAGTGAGCAGGAGATGTGCAAAAGTGGTCAGAGTTAGGATAATGAAAGTGAGTTCAGCAGACACATCTGTCTCTGTGAATATCTGAATTTTAAGAAGTTTTGTGTGGGTAACTTCAGCTCATCACTTGAACCATTTAGGAGGGGTTTGCTGCAATTGTCTGATCTAGCTCATTGAAAATGAGCATCTTCTTGTGGGACCCTTGTTCTTCCACATAAAGTGTTGGGTTTTTTTCATTTCACTTGTTTCCATACCCAAGTGAAGGCTCTGCTAGCACTTTGTATCATTAACATAAATAAAGTGGACTTCCACCATCCAACTCTTTCAAAAACCACCAATTTCTGCCATAAATGAGCTTAAGTCATGTAAAGGGTAAAGGTCACAAACTGATCCTAGGAGAGAGTACTAGAAAGCCATAAAATATGTCATCTAGAGCTGTTAGTRCCTGTATGTCATGTTACAGAAACTCTGATATCTGCTGTAGGAGAACTGCTGTGCTAAGGCTGCTGAGTAAGGCTTTCCAAAAGCTTTTCCCTCTTGTCTTTGGAGCAGCACAGGCATGCTTGGGAGTGCCAGATGGTCTGTGGTAATTTTGTGTAACCCATGAMCCTCCTCAGTTGTGCTGGGGCTCTTGCAGCTGCTGGTAGGGGAGTTTCTTAGGACTGAAATGGCAGCTTTGCCTGCCTGCCCTCAAGACTGTGTGTTTTCTGTTGTGCTTCCAAGAGACCTTGCAGCCCCATCCCTTGCTGGATAATGATCTGATCTTATTTTGCTTACCAACAGTTCTGCTGCTGGAGTGTTAAAATGTAGTAGGTAAATTCTAGATCCTTCTAGTGACTCATTTAGTCCCTTTCTTCTTCCCAGCTGGTCTAAGTCACACACAGCTGTGAGAACATCAGCTCCAAAATTCTGAGCAGCAGACACTTTATATGTGGTGATCCATTCTAAATCCCTTATCATAGCTGCCTTAGGCTGGAAACAATTTTTTTGTACTGGCCAATGTAAAGATGCTATTTCTTGAGCTGAGGGTATTTAGCGTGATTGTACTGTTCTCCAGGCCTCAAAAGATTATGCTGTGACTTCAATTCATCACAAAAATAGGGCTTTTAAGTGGCTTTTCCTAATTCCCAGATAGGAATAATGAAATTATTTTGGGGGAATAATGTTGTTCGAGAATAMCTGGTGACAACTACACAAAGGTGTTTTATTGACTTATTTTCTGTGCTGTTCTGCAAGAAAGGGAAAATGCATAAATGTAACAAGAGGCARTACTGCAATGACTGTGCTTTGCCACTGTTGAATGATACAGCTCTGGGTAACTGCAAATATGTAAAAAACCTTTCTTCGTTAATTGACTCACTTTCACTGTTTGTTTTTGGCTCATTTTATGTTCAACAACRTTCATTTTCATATTAATGGTGCATTTATTTTTACTCATGGATACACAGTATGGAAAATGGTGTGGAGTCTTACTCTCATGTAATTTGTACACATCTGTGTGGCTCCTGGTTCACTTAGGTGATGTTAAGGTGGTTAGTGTGATAAAGACTACTTGCATTTATTGAAGCAGCAGAAATCAAGCCCAAAGTCTGTTATATCTGATCTCATCTGTGATTTTTTTTTTWWTTTTTAAATGTTTCAATCAAATGTCACTTGACTATCTCAAAACAAATGTGGCTGCAGCCTGGTTGCTCAGACTGCTAGGGCGTGCGTGTATTATGTATCAGAAAAGAGTTTGTCATGCAGGCAGTGTTTTTAATGCMTTTGAGCATGTCATCTTCACTGAGGTCTGTCCCTTCAGACAAGGTATCCCATGTTCTGAGTGTCCCATGCCATAAGAGGACAGGTCAGGATTAAATGCCACCATGTCCCATTCCAGTTTGCATGAAAATGAAATCTCAAAAGTTACTGTCTTCCCTTATTATTCATTGTTACCTTGTATGCCACATATCTCAAGTCTCCTTTATAAAATACAAAGTTTCAGAAATGTTTTTGGGAGCAGAGCTGGGTATGGATGCTCTGATTAGCACAGCACATTGAAAGGACAGTGTTTCATACTGCTTATGGTTTTAAACGTGATCTCAGAGCACATCAAAAGGACTGTGTGTCCTTGCAGATGTGTAGCTATCTTTGTCTGTTGTCTCTGTATGGCATATTTCATGTTTTAATTTAACATTGATTATATAGGGGTAGTTTTCCAAACTGTGTTGTTTGCTCATGACTTCAAGCTGTTGTTTATGAGTGGTCCTTCTCTCTGTGAAAAAATGCCCTTGGATGGCAGTGGAATCATTTGTGTTGSCTGCTCTTACAACAAAGGACTGCAACTGAACTGGGCCTGGTATGAKTAACTTAAGTACTGAAGACTGGGGTCATGTTTAGAAGTTGATGCTGCTTAAAGTGAATATCTAACTTGCCAGATTCGTAAATTTGGAAGAAATCTTGTTGCACTT